AAAAAATAAATCAGAGCTAAAAAAGTGCAAAAAACGCAGGCAAATTTGCCTGCGTTCTACTACAATCTAAGGGATAGTTAAAGCTCGAGATAACAAATTTTTCTATAGCAAATATTTGAACATAGCAAAATTTTTTATATGACAAGTATGTTTGAATATATAAATTTTTCTTTTAATATCCAAAAATTTCTATACATCAAAGGCATTTGATCAGTTTTTGGTCTTCATTATATCGAGCTTTAACTGTATATATAATTCTTGTTCTACAGATAATTTTATCATTATAAATATCGATACGTTTAATGTTAAATTTTTGTTTGAATGTTTATGTATTTAGTGTAACAAATAATTTTTCTCTGTGTCTCGCTTCTATATTGGGGGTCGCTTAAAGCCAGGTATATCATGGGGTTATCCAATATATAATGTGGATTAGCCCAAACAAAACAAAGTGAGATGACAAAGAAAAAAATATAAAAAATATAAAAAACCACTATCTAACCCAGTCTTGGTTCACTAAGTAAAAGTGTTAGAAATGCAATTTTACTATATAAACTACTTAATCTAACTCTAACCCTAATATTAATTGATTTTAATTAAAAATCAGAAAATCAGATAATCTCGTGATGTATCTGGCTTTAAGTATCCCCCATATTTGTCTAATCATCAAGTTGTTGTTTTATATAATTGTATCGCTATAGCCATGTTAATCTTGCCTTTATAATATTAGACAGTCTTAATTCATATAAATTTCTTTTAAATCGCGTAAAGCGACAATTGGCACATATTCATGAGAAATGAGAATATATACATATAAAGGTTGCTTTTAGTTCACTATCAAATGTATGCTCTCTAAAATTGTCTCTAAATAAAGAATACATAAATATATACTCTTTTTTATAATAAATGTCTAATAACAAGTTCCCTTATTTTCATCAAGTTCTCACATCTTTTCTTATGTCAACCATCAGAGTTAAACTTGGCATGATTGATAAAAGCTTTTCAAGATGATAATTACGTTAATTTGTGCAAAAATTTATTGAAAAGACTGTTCTTGTTAGCTAGATATGAAATAGATTTTATAATATATTAAACAAGTAATTAAATGAGTAGATGCTTATATTCAAAAAGTTAGATATGATCAAAGAATAGTGCTTGGATCTGATTAAAAAATCTGTCAGATTTTCAATTAGATATTTGTTTGTATCAGATAATAAATATATGTATTGCAGATAGTCGGATACATGTTTAACTATCTGATACTTTGATTAATAACAATGATATATTATGATATAATTAAATGATATTAAACTATCAATGCTTCAATTAATAAAATAATGATGCATTATAATAATATAAATATAAGCTTTTTATTTTGATTATATGATTATACAATAATTTTTTCTTATTTATATTTACTTTAATAATAAAATTTTTTATACTCATTTATAATAATAAATAGCGAAGATTCTTTACAATTTAATGAAACCTCAAGCAAAACTTCTATGAGTTGCTTAAATGATAATATTGTTACTACACATTCGATAGATAATAATCAATCAAAAAAATGAGGAGGTTCTAGGAAAAGAAGCTGGATATGGGACCATTTCAAGGACTTACCTACTAAACGTAGATCTAAAGGCAGTGCGATGTGTTAAAAAATGATAGTACAAAATATAACCATATTATTGAAACTGATGGCAGTACAAGAAATTTTAGTTATCATCTTTATATTATACATGGGGTTACGAAATTTAGAAAACTAATATTAGATAACTTCTAAGCATCAATTGATGACATGCTTCGTTAATGATTCAAGGATAATGTTGAATATAAAGAGCAAGTCGACAGCATGGTAGCTGAATTTCTTATATCTGATTCACAACCATTTTCTGTTTTAGAAAATCTGGCATTCAAAAAACTTTTAAAAAAACTTAATCCATATTATGAAATATCTTGTGACAAAGATATTAAAGCTCGAATTTGTATATCTTATAATTGGATGTTGGCCACTCTTCAAGATATATTGAAGAATTTAATGAATTATTGTGGGTTAACAATAGACTTATAGACTTCCCGCAGTAATAATAGATATCTCAAAATCACATATTCATAGATTAATTCTTGTTTTGAATTACAAAAAATCACTTTGGCTATTTGTAAAATAAAACACCCACATACGGGATATACAATCGCTTTTGTATTGAAATCTATTATCCAAGATTGGAACTTAAATACAAAATGTTTTATGATAACAACTGATAATGCCAAAAATATGAAAAAGGCTGTTATGGAAATTGAAGGAGTTGATCATTTTTCATATTGTGCACATATTTTACAATTAGTCATAGGAAAAGGGCTATTACCAGTTAAAGTTTTAGTTGCACAAGCAAAATGGTTAATACAATTTTTTACATCTTTTAAACAAAGTGAACAGCTTGAAATAGCACAAATTTCTTTAAACCATGAAGTGTGCAATAATATTAACAATAATCATGAATATCTTAAAGTTATAATGAATTTTGCAACAAGGTGGAACTCTACGTATATAGCATGAATGAGAATTTTAAATTAAAACCAGCAATCGAAGTAATGCAATTAACAATGAGTTGCAGCAAAGACTCTATAGTTAAAAAAAATGTAAGGCAACTTAAATGAATTATACTAACACCTGAGGAATGGCAATTAATGAAAGATTTAGTTAAAATTTTACAACCTTTCACTGATGCTACGAAGATGCTTGGTGGAAGCAAATATACTACAATGTCATATATGTTTCTGCTATATCATCTTTTAAAAAATTGCTTAATATTATATACAATACTCAAATTAATATAAATCTTGATGATTCTAATATGGTTTTTGATAACAATCAAGAGTTTCAAGAAGAAATTGATCTTATAGATGAACCTGAAGTACTTAATACTAAATTTGAAACAAAAATCAATCAACTAAAATTAATATTCTACAAATCTGTAATAATATGGTTAAAAATGTAAAAATTGCATTATTTAATGCTTTAAATTACTATTGAGAATATTCAATTTGTGAAGCTCTTCTTGCAATACTCCTTGATCCTAAAAATAAAAAAATGGAATTTGCAACTTATTCTCAAAAACTTAAGGCTGAAGCATATTTAGTGGCTGAGTATGAAGTATTTAAAAAGCAAGAATCAATACTGACAAATACAGTACAAATGGATAACCTTGAAGAGGAAGAAAATGTCTTGTTAGCTGCTATATATGAATCTATTCAAGAATCTGACATTAATAATGAAATTCAAACTTATCTTGCATTGCCAAAAATTCCAAGTACTCTTTGTCCTTTAAAATGGTGAAGTGGGCAGCAATTAAATTTTTCTATATTGAGCAAAATAGCTCAAAAATATTTATGTATTCCAGCTACATCTACAGCCAGTGAACAACTCTTTAGTAATGCAAAAAATATTATGACTGCCAAGCGAGCTTGTTTAAATTCTGATTTATTTGAACGCATGCTATTTCTTAAAAGGAATATAAATTGCACTGGTGTAATGTTTCTTTAAAACACTTTAAGAGCATTTATTTTTTGAAAATAATAATGTTATATATGAATTTTTAATTAGCAATATCGATAAAATATACACATTCTACTTGCATTAGCTCTTTTTATAATAATTCATATAATAAAACTTAGTTATTTAATGCTTTTACTATAATTTATATATTGACATTATAATAAACTTATTAAAAAAATTTTACTATTGGTTATTCGCTATAAAAGTTTGCTATATGGTGTGTTAGTTTTGTTATATGTAAAAGGGTATAGAGTCGACTATATGTTAATTCAACGGATTTAGTCGGTTAGTTTATAGCAGATATCCGAAAATTGCGTTTATCCGGTGAATAGGCAAAATGGATAGTCGGATATCCACTGGATCCAAGCTCTAGTCAAGAATTTGTTAATGAGTTTAAAAATATGACTCAAGATTCTAAAAAATCGAGATTTTATTAAGATTTGTCAAAAATGTGTTACAGAAGTTTTTCAATGCATCCATATCTTTGAAAATGCTTGACTTATAGAAGATATGTTAACTAGGGTTGTTAATGGAGTAGCTTATTCCGGAGCACTCCGGAGTAGAACCCAACCCAAGTTGAAGTGGGTTTAAAATTATGCCTTTAAATTTGAAGCAACCTGGAGCAACCCGGTGCAAAACATTGAAGTAAGTTTAATTTAGTGGAGTGGGTTGAAGGTTGGGTCAACCAAAACCAACCCAACACAACCCTAATGTTAACACCCAAGTGTTTGGAAATTTTTCGAAATGATAAACCTCAAATTTTTTCAATTATTTGCCGGCGAAGACACTTTGAAAGTATTTGGCCAAGAATGTCCGTATCGGTAATATTTATATAAGTCACCTGCTCTTAGATTATATACGTACTATATGTATGTACGTACATAAATTTATTCTATTTTGCCGAAATAGCAAACTTAGCCGAATCGACCGAAAAATCATTCGGCTAATTTTTATCAGGTGTTTCAGGAATTATAAAAACAGGGCATTATCGGTATATAAAAGATATATATTTTTATATTACCTCAATATCATACTTATTCTACAGATAATTTTATCAATGTAATGTCGTCACATTCAGCATTATTATGAATACTTGTTTAGCATGGTTGGCATGTTTAGTTTGTGCAAAAGTTTATGAAAAAGCTGTTCTTGTCAACAAATAAGTCTTGACAAGAAGTATAAAAAGACACCGGATATAAAATAAACTCTTATAATAAATATAGGTGCTAACATTAAAAAGTTAGATATGATCAAGAATTCATCAATTGGTTTAAAATGTAACTCAATATTTCAAAGAAATCATGATTTTAATATTTGTCGAAAAAGCATTACCGTAATAACTCTCATGAGCGTCATTTTTAATTTTGACTCGAACTAAGCTTAATTTAGGCCAAAATTTAAAATTACACCCTGCGTGTTATTACGCGAAAATACGGTATATCATTGAAAGTGCTTGAAAACTCGACTTATAGAAGATTTGCTAACACATAAGCATAATTTTTCGAATTAATAAACCTTCTAAATTTTTCAATTATTAAGTTTTGAAATTTGGAGTTTCGAGTTTCGGAAGGATTTTGGGCTTCAGATAGAGTTTCGGATAGAGTTTGGAGCCGGTTGTAAATTCAAAAACCGGATTGGATTTACATGTATTTGAAAATCGGTTAAGATTTAGTTGAATTTAAACTGATTTTAATCGAGCTATGTGCAATACAATCAACAAAAAAAAAAAGATCTAATAAATCATAAGAAATTACAAATTTTAAAGTGCTACACTGCAAAATTTTATTAATACAACTACTTTAGTGTCCTAAGCGAAAAATGATCTTGATCTTATTCTAAATTAATTTATATAAAAAAATTTATTTTAATAAATTTGTCAATTTCCCCTTTCTATAGCACCTAGCCCATATTAGTTAATCAGTAATAATTCTAATTGGTCAAATGAAAAAGTTTAAATCAAAGTTACTTTTGCTACTCTTTTTATGATATACAGAAAGCAAAACCGAATTTTAGTTTTACAGCTATTATCATAATTTTTGGGACACCTGCTCATTACCCGAAATACCTAACTCTCCGGAAACTACATCGCTGTCTTCAGACCTTCAGACCGGAGGCAGTAATTTACCGAACGACAAAAAAGATTTCAGGTAATGAGCAGATGTCCCAGAAATTATGATAATAGCTGTAAACCCGGTTTATTTGAGTCTATCTTAGTTTTATAACCGAATTATAACATTACAGAACCGATTTACAGCTCTTATCATAATTTCTGAAACACCTGATAAAAATTGCCGAATGATTTTTCAGCCGATTCGATTAAGTAGTGACTTCGGCATGATCGGTATATAAATTACAATTTGCGTTACATTTTATACATATAGATATATTTTTTTGCACAAACTCTAAACATGTTGGACAAGTATTTAACCGAAAATTTAATATTATTGAATGTGCCCGACATTATCTGTGGAAGAAGTATCAGATATAATGCTGTAATGCACATGTCTCTTATATATAGGAGCATTGAAGAAGTTCGTTTTGATTGGCTAAAATTAGAATAAATATGATTGGTGACGATCATTTATTTATACAGTCAATTGTAATTTTTAAAATACTTTTATTAGTAAAAATCGTCACGCCATATAAAAATTTTTTTT